CGGCGTCTCTGTTTTTTTGGAATGGTGTTGGACCCTCTAGAAAGTGGTTGGGGTCGACAGTCAGTGGGCCCCGGAGGCCTGGTAACTCCCTCTGACCAGCTTTTGTTTGCCCCATGTGGCAACTATACAGGACTGGGGCCAAGCCAATCCTGAGTAGGAGTTGGGATTTCCGCATTTCCCAGCTCCTTACAGGGACGCACAATCTGGGAGCCAGCGATGTTTCCACAGGAGCCTTGTCTAACAAACACCCTTACATCATTCTTTCGAAGTTTTCCAGTGATACTTTTAGCTAGAGATGTATGTGGGCACCTGTTGTGTACTAACTCCTGATGAATAGGTGCTTGTTTAGGCCCCAAGCAAACTGGTTTAATAGGAGTTTTGTTGCAGAAAGAGCAACCTGGTCACTATGGCAGAGATATAACCAATTATATATTGGACCTGGAAGTTTGTTAGACAGTCGTGAAAAACTTCTGAAACCCATGGACCCAGTTTTCAGAACCCACTAACAGTTTTTTTCTTTTAAGTTGGTAAAATATACGTAGCATAAAATTTACCATTTTAACCATGTGTACAGTTCAGTAATATTAAGTACCATTTTAACCATGTGTACAGTTCAGTAATATTAAGTACATCGACATTGTTGTGTACCATTTATAGTTTTAAATTCCTTGCATTTAAAAGTAGAACTATAGTTCCTTTTTTCCTCCCACTCTCTCCTTTTGACAAAGCAGATATTCCAGAATACCTCTGTTTAACTGGCGTAGTATATTTAGAGTACAAGTCTTGGTTCCAAATCAGTGATGATGTGTGGTGACAAGGAGAGTTATGTTGGGACCTAGCAGCCCACAAGTCGCTGTATGGTAACAGTTCTGCATTCCAGGAGCTAGAACTAAGGCTGATGTCATCATGATGGCTTATCAAAACCAGCACCAATTTTAGACATATTTACTTCCATGGTTGAGGAATGGAGTATGTAGGTGGCCAAAAGAACGGAAAAAGAGTTCTAAATAATAAACACTTTACTAAAATGTGGTAATTAACATAACTTTAAAGGCAACATAATATCTTAATCTTTCATAACTTCATTTGAGTCCCACATCTTTGCGTTTACTCTACCACACTTTAAATCCTGGAAAAAATTCAATTAAAACAAATGAATAAAAAGCTTATCTATACAGTTAGCCAGACTTACAGTAGTTGCTTTTTTTTCTAAGTAGAAGAAAAACTGTATACAGTGGTGTGTCTTTTATTTCAAAACTTTGGTTCCAATACCATGAGCACAGTGGCCTTAGGAAGAATTTAGATCAGTTCTGAAAATTGTAACCTAGGTTGGCCAAACTCACTCTTAAGAAAAACTGTATTTGGAAATAGTCTTATTTAATTTCAATTAATATCTGCATTCAAATAATATCTCTCAGTTTGCAGCATTTTATCAGACACTTTATCAATTCAGTTCTCATAAAAACCTTAAACTAAATTTAACACGTGATTGATTATATTGAAGAGAAGAAATTTAAGACTTCAAAATAGGTACTTTTTAAACTAAAGAAAATGGTTCTATCTTCTGTTTTGTGCACTGTTGAAATTAAATCTCCAGATATCTTCAGAAAGTTCTCCAGTACAAAGTTGGAATTATTTCAAAGGAAAGAAACTGGCAAAACTGCTTTCTTAATAGGTTAGGGAATTATAAGAATAAAAACATTAGAACTTACTGAATTAAATTTTCAGTGTATTAATGTTAAAGTGAGAGATCATTTTATACAACTTTTTTTCTAACTATGGGTAAAATATAGATTCCCTGTTAGTTTTTTGTTGAGCTGGGCATAGAATACTAATCTAATTATTCAAATGCTTTACTTAAAAAGACCCCAAATACATCTGTATCATGAAGACTATCATGAATGTAATAATATTCATTTGTTACTGCTGGAAAAGTTAGCAGAGAAGAGATACTACAATAAGAAAACATCCCAACTGCTACAAGTTCTCACCACATAAACACTTAAATAGAGGTTTATCTATGGCACAGACAAAAGCTTTTTTACTTTCTCTTTTCCTCAGAAACTTTATAAAATAGAACACAAGATGTGAAATTAAGTGAGAATGAAGTGGAAAATTATGTCACATGATAGATGATCTTAGCCACAGATTATGTTTATATGAGGCATTAAATTGCCATTCTGTTGGAATCAGCCAGTTGACTCAGCATTGTAATCTGTTTGACTTTTTATTATTATTATTTTATTTTTTATGAATTACAGCCACCAAATACTTATAAAATTATTTGACATGATACCCAAGTTTCCAGAAACAGGAATAACCTTAAGGTATTGCAGCATTGTACTCAGAGAAGCTATGAGTACATTTTGTGCTTTTGTAAACCCGGCACGCCCCAAACAGGTAGAATGTGCCTAATACCATAGCTATCTTAAAAAAATAATAATAATAATAATAATAATAGATATAAAGCTAACCATTAACATTGTGAAAAGTGAGGTATGAGAAACAGTTTCTCAACTACAATTTTGGAAATGGATAAAAGCAGCCTTAGAACCTTTTGCCTTTAATCTTGAACCAGCATATTCCCTGTTCAGTATCCACAAATGCAGACAGGGGTGCTTCTATTCAAGAAGATATTTCACAATGTAGCTGTAATTTTTTTTTTTTAATTTAAGGAATCACTGATACATTTCGACAATGAAGTTTGCTTAAATATACATGTAATAAATATATATGATAGATT